TAAGCTATATATATATATATATATATATATATATATATATATATTTCTAAAAGTCGTGTATCATGCATAGGAACGTTGACGCCTGTAAGGCTCTGGTTTTCTATTTGTTGCTTTCTGCAGCCTATAAGAGTCTGTGAATTGCTGATAACATCTGCGGTGGAAACCACCTTTCATTGGAATTTGAAGCGCTTCCAGCCCATCAACATCATTAATGTTTGCTGATGCAAGAAATGTAGCTGAAATCTTTCCATGCTCCATCCCCTCAAATTCCTTCCACTTCAAAACAAATTCTAGGAACCTCTGCCAAGTTATCGGTGAAAAATCTTTATAAGGGCTTGGCGGAACAGATGTACAATGCATAAAACACCGATTTATTTCAGGCCCATCCATTTTGTATCCTAAACAAAATAATCACCATCAACAGTAATATTAATAATTTGAAAACAATCAATCAATTAATATGTGCATCACAATAATTTTTATCCATATAATTAATGCTTGCGGTACACCACGTAGATAGTTCTGAAAAGAACTGTTGTTGTTGGTTGAGAATATCTCGATGTTTCGGTTGACTTGCTTCAACCGTCTTCAGGAGAATAACATCTGCAGAGATCTCAAACAGGGAAATACTTATATGTTTGAGTGATGAGACTTGCTGCTGATTGGTTGAAAACTAAACAAAGGCTGAGCCTAACCAGTGAAAAGCTATACAAAAGCTAAAATTCACAGTCTGAATAGAAGGGCGGGGCGTTGTTCTAGCTGGGGGAAGGAAAGCCAAAAACAATGGCATAGTTTCCGGTGTAGAGGGAAAGATTTGGCGGGAAAATTTGGTTTAGGTCCGGTTAAACATGGACAACCAAATATCGCTGATGACAAATCCAATATCTTGATGTACTGTATCATGTTTGTGAATTTCTATAGCTTCTCTGGTCCGTCTGGAATGCCAAGATGGTACAGTGGCTATCAGTTCAGATTTATCCCAACATACACGATGTTGTTGTGTGTGGGAGTGCATGACTATAGATGACTTCTGTTGTTCCCCTCTCCTAGCATGGCCTTGGTGTTCCTTGAGCCTGGTACGGAGATCACGACCTGTTTCACCAATGTGAAATGTTCATCTGTTTATCCAGTTTAAATGCACTGTATTGTTGCAAATAAAATATAACTATCATTGATTTTATTTTATAATTATATTAATTATCTTATAATTATTAAACTCATAATATGTATTGTGGATACTGGCTAATGATAGCATTTAAATAAATAACTGATTTATTTTATTTACCAATAAAAAATATTGAAAAGTATTTGTCAGGCCTAGATAATCAATTAAGGAAGAAGAAATACTGCTGTCTAAAGCTGGCTTTTGATCTTTCCCCTTATGGGCATTACACGCAATTCCCGACAAAGAATGTGTCGCCATCACTTTCCTGCTGAAGAAAAACATCATTGCGTCTGTGGCGTATTTGTTTACATTTCCCTTTGTCCACAAGTTGACTACATCCTTTGGTGCTTTTAGGTTTTTTGCGAAAGTTGAAAACAGCCTTCATGAAGCGACTTACAAGTAGGTGTGATCCTACTGTTTGTCCATTGTTAAGAATCAAGAAAGATGATAATGTACATCTTGCTGAATTAACTGTAGAAAAGCTTTCATTCCTGATGATGACATAATTAATGTCGAAATATTGAATCCCAACACGATGGCGTGTATTTCAATACTTGGAGTATGTATTATACTAGGGGGGTCACATCAAAATTTTATAGTCTTTTAATTGCATTTATGAATAGTTTGTTGGGAAGAGCTTTTGCAGAAACTGAGAATACTTTTTATTTGAATAAATTTGGTTAAACGGTTTTCAAGTTATGAATTAAAACGTAAGTACACAAAATGGTAGTTTTATGGCAAAAAACGGTATATTTTTGTCGAAAGCAATATTTTTTATTTTCAAATTGTTAATTCTTATAAAAAAAATAATTTCTAGTGCCTTGTTTCACCAAATATCATAATAATTCACAACATACAATTGATATAAAGTGATTTGGTCGCTTTAAAATTATTTTAAAGTACTTTTTCAGGACCTTCAAAACGCCATTTTTTCATATTTAAACGCGTCGTCGATGAGATAAAGGCAAATAATAGACTAAGTCGAGCTAATTAAATATGCGAAAATTTAAAAAATGCCAAAATAAAAGGATTTCATCAATATCCTCGACCCCTATGGGGTTTTTTGGGGTGTAGAATTCATTTCTGATGTCAGAAAAGTGCTAAATATTTAACAAGTAACAGTATTTGATAAAAAAATAATAATTATTTATATAATTTTCATATATGTATAGCATCTTATTACTACGAACTACTACGAACCCTATAAAAATATTCTGTAACTTAACATAATTATGCAGCATAAAATATTAGGGATTCACTTCACAATTATAACTTAACAATTCTGCCACAGTTCAGTGTTAACAAGAAAACCATTTTTGTCTATATTCCTCAAAGCGATGTTCAATTTGTAAAAGTTCATCATTGTTTAAATAATAAAATCGTAATGATGAGTGAGGAAGTAATTATACTGCAGCAGCAAATATATATTTGGCTTCTATTAGTTCATGGGCATTCTGCAGAGCTTCATCCCACACAAACCGATTGTTCTTCACCCGTTTAGTAAATGAAATGTAAGTTGATTCAGGGGACAGAACTTTATTTACACAACCAAGATGCCATCCATCTTCGTACGCCACTGCAACCAAATCCATTCCTGTAAACTTATAGTCCAGGTCTCCATATACTCTTTTCTTTGAGGGAGATGCACCATAGTCATCTTCTGATTGGAATTCCTCATCTGATTCACATTCATCATCTTCTGACACTGATTCATTATCTTCAATTTCATCCTCATCTGATTCACTTACATTGTCCACTCCATGTACACATGAAACGATCTCTTTTAAATCAGTGAAAAGCACACATTTAAGTGAAGGTACAGTTCTACCCTTTCTGGCATTGTACGGTATCACAAATTTTGTAGATTCCAACAGTTGCAGTATATTATCATCTGAGTTCTTTAAAGCTTTATGCCTACGCTCAGAAACAGATTTCACCCTGCTGCGAAATAAAGGCATATTAACGTTATCCTTTCCACAATGGGATACCTTAGTAATCCAGTTTAATAGGTCTTGGAATGTCTTCCTTTCCTTTTTAGAGTGCATGTACAATTCTGCAACAGCCATCTCTGGTAGTGCAATGGCGGGAACTTCATTTTCATTATTGATGACAGCACATGTTAAACCAAGTTTTGCACAGGTCTCACCAATATGATCTGCGCATCTCTTGCTAATCTCAGGGTTAATTTTGGTTACCATAAGTCTCTTAACATCATCTAGGGTTTTGCATTGTGCTGCCTTCTTCCGTGATTTGCTGGTGAGATTTGTGATTTTCTTTGGAAGAACAACATCTTTCTGAAGAAGTGTTAGGATGATTGGTAGGTCTCTAGTAACTTGCAATGTAGGCGAACTTGAAATGAGTACATCAAGGACATATACCCAAGCCAGGGTACAATAGATGTTGCCACTTACAGATAAGGTATCTGGAAAATAAATAAGACATTGTTAAAATAGTTGTATGCTTGTTTACTTCATTTCAATAAAGTAACATTTTCAAAAGTTTTTAGTGAATTATTAGTATATCTAATTTAATATACAATCGATAGAAAATGCAGAAACTAGTTCAAGTCACATTATTATTATGAATACCAACATAAATTGATAGATTAAAGAATAGAATCAACTGCCCACCTGGTAATTGTTTTGTCTGCAGAAACAGCTTAATTTCATCTTCCGTTAATTCAAGGAAGTTTAAGCAGGATTTGAAAACATCAAAATTGTCAACAGAAATTAATGATACATCTGACCGAAGTCTAGGAAATAGAAAAAAAAAAAAAAAAACATTTTAATACAACACCGATTTATAAATGATTTATAAATATTTTTGTTGTAAGTTTAAAAACTAGGTACTAGGTCTCATTCCTGTGTTTATATAATTGTTATCATGTATACTAAATTAATGTAAAGTAAGCATACACTTTGCTTTGTACATCAAAAATAGTATTTAAAATGAATTATTTATTATAAGGGTAGATGTTTAATTTCGTGTAAGGTTATAATTTATTAAAAATAAATTTTATCCAGACGAGAGTGTCATTATTTATAACATGACATAATGACTACATTTAGATACATAATTTTCGCAAACAAACACTAATTATAACAGTGAAATTAATTTTTATATTTCACAAATCCCCCAAAAGGTAAATGGAATGTTGCGTACGTGTCATAACCAACTGTCCAACTGATGGAGTTACGGAAAATATATTTCTAATGAGGGTATACAAAAAAGTATCTATCTTTATCTGAAGCTATGATTTATTTAAAAATCATTAAATATCAATGTAAAAAGCCAATATATAAATATAACTTCTTAATCTTTATCAAATTTCAATTCATCATTTTCGTAAACAAATATTAATTAAAACATTAAAATTAAACACACAATATACCTTCCCACACAATAAATGGAAGGTACCGCACGCTGCCGTTCCACAGTGAAAATTTAATCAAGCTAGCCTATACCAGGTAAAATCTCGAATTTATCACACATCTAACAACTTTGACAAAAATAACAAATGTATAGCATACCTGGATCTTTTATCTTTCTCACTGTTCATTCTTATTGCAAGAATTAAATACAGAAATCGTCTAAAATGTTACGTTATATCTTGATTAGCTGATCACACAACGCGGTTCACGAAAGATTCACTTACATTGTCCACTCCATGTACACATGAAACGATCTCTTTTAAATCAGTGAAAAGCACACATTTAAGTGAAGGTACAGTTCTACCCTTTCTGGCATTGTACGGTATCACAAATTTTGTAGATTCCAACAGTTGCAGTATATTATCATCTGAGTTCTTTAAAGCTTTATGCCTAAGAAAGTTACCAGGTAAAATCTCGAATTTATCACACATCTAACAACTTTGACAAAAATAACAAATGTATAGCATACCTGGATCTTTTATCTTTCTCACTGTTCATTCTTATTGCAAGAATTAAATACAGAAATCGTCTAAAATGTTACGTTATATCTTGATTAGCTGATCACACAACGCGGTTCACGAAACGATGTACTGAACACGCAGTGGTCACGGTCTACCTAATTCGTTTGATTGTTCACCATTGTTTTTCCTCGAATTAAGCCAATAGGGTTCGTTGTTTTATGGACTTTCGGCCCGTAGCTTCTCTACTGAGGGCGGAATTTTCGGATCCATTGAAAAAAGGAAATAACAAGCTTGATTTTGGTATAATTTTTATCGTAGGTTGAAAATTATAAAGCGATAACAAATTGGGTGCAAATTTTTATTTGATCGTAACTTTTGACTGAATAGGGGTAGAAATCTCAAAAAAGAACCAAAATAGAGATTAATTTACAATAAATAAATGTATCATTACGACGAAACGAGAAAGCGAAATGCTATAGGCCGAAAATGCATCGGAAGATCGGATGTTTTTACAAATTAATTACGGCTGCCTATGCTGTGGTGTGGTGTATAGCGTGTAATAGCGTAGCTTAAAACCGTCCTATGCAAGGTATGTTCGGTTGCGTCGTGCGACCCCCCTAATTATACTTTCTTAAAAGCTTTGTGAGGTTTCATAAACCTTTGTTAAGAAACTCAAGATCAGTTTTATGTCTGACTGAAAGGGTTTGTTGTCTGTAACATCCACTTCCTGATATAAACAGCATACTGGTCTCTTGAAGATTTTCTCCACGAACTCATTATGGGTGCGTTCGGGCGAGTTTTTTTTTGGTGTTAAACACGGAGTAAAAGCGGTAACAGCAATTTCTAGTTTTCGCCCGAACGGGGGTTAATCGCGGACTGCCTGCTGATATTCGCCGATAACCCAATGCTGCAAATTGCAGTGTTCTGGAGGATTAAAACTGGCCTATTTGCGCATGCGTTAGCAGCAGGGAGCATTTAATCCTATTTAATCCTTTTTTGATTTCTCTTTAATTGTTACGGCACGCGCCAGAGCAAAAGTTTGTTTACATTTTACACTAACAATTAAGTTTATAGATAAAATATTTACAGTATATTGTTTCAGATTCATAACAGTAATTTAAATATTTACAAGATAGTATATTGTTTCATATTCATAACAGTAATTTAAATTTTACTTCTGATACTGTTGAGTACATGCAGTATTATTTTATTCGCAAGATTTTAACAGCTGCCAGTAATACTTATGGAATATATAAGACAGTGTAAAATGCATTTTGTCTTAAGGTTTGTTTTTGTGAATTTTAGTTTATAGATAAAATATTCACAGTATATTGTTTCATATCCATAATAACAGTAATTTAAATTTTACTTTCGATAGGCCTACATATTATTTACTGTATTCCCAAGACTTATGGAATATATAAAATAGTGTAAATGTTAATACGTTGTTTAAGTGTAAAATGCATTACAGTATTGGAAGCTTTTAAAAATTTGAAACATATCCTCCTTAGACAAGCCCAGTATATATCGAAGGAAACTTATTTTTCCTTACATTATTTTATGACCAACATTTTTACAGCTGCTGTAGCCAACTGACAGTGATGCTTATGGAAGATAATACAGTATTGAATAGTGTAAATTTTGTTTACGACAGTGATACTTGTGTAAAATAGTTGGATAATGTAGGTTAAATGTTCAAGTACTGTACAGGGATGCATCTTTACTGTCTCGAGGCTTGAGCTTTAATAGTCAATGTTTAGTTAAAACCCTCCTTAACCTGCAGTGTAAAAATATTTTTAAGTCCTGGTTTGTGGCGGAGTATTTGCAAATAAACAGTACCATTTTATAAATTTGGCAAGTATTACGCATTAAATTTGTGAAAATGTCAAAGTGTTGTGGTATTCATTATTTCTAATTGTCATGTAAATACCCATATTTATTTGAATAATCCTGCCATACATTTAAAGATTGTGTTATTTTTTTAAAGTACAGCAACACAAAAGACACATGTAAAGTTACGTTCCCATACAATCGCTACACAGTCGCTAGCATTTTTAAAGCAATCTGCATCGCATAGCTGTGCTTGGTGCAATCAGACGCGTTCCCTAATTCAGTTGACAAATCAGAGGCTGCAATAGTGTGCAACAGTTTTTATGGGAACTTAGCTTAAAACAATCTGTTTTTTAGTAGGACATTGGTGAAAGAGACAACTTTGATTTTTTGCATTCAGAAAAGGCTGCAATTTATTATTTTAAACAGAGAAAAAAAAACTATACTGTACATGTTATTTACAAACCACCGACGAAACCACCGACGATTACTTTTTACTGGAATAAGGCACCACCTGGTGCTCATTTACGTCAAATATTTTCTGTTCATACTGTATTTGAATGTTTCTACTAGCTAGTTAAAATATGCGAGTAATGCAGTGCGCATATCTGCAGCCGAAGTTCCAGGGACGTTATTGTTTTCCTCATTTTCTGGCTGTACATCTTCGTCATGATCATCCCACTCTTCATTGTATTCCTCGTTGGTTTGAATGCAGAAATTGTGGAGTACACAGCAGGCTGTAACCAATTTTGGAACTTTCTGTAATTGAGTGTCATTTCGACGCAATAAGATCCGCCACCTGCCCTTTAGTTGACCGAATGCTCTTTCCACAACCATCCTGGCCCTGCTTAGACGATAATTAAAATTACGCTTTTCGCGGGTGAAATTAGCGCCTTCTGAAAACCCTTTAAGCAGCCATGTCAACAGTGGGTATGCTGGGTCACCTAGGATTACAACTGGCACATCCACACCATTTATATTTCGGTTCCACTGAAAATAAAATATTACAGACCATTATTATCGCGGACAAATATACACAAGTTTTCAATTTCTATATTGTTGTAAGTGCTGTTTCTTTTTTTTTTTACCTCCAACAAGATTGTCTATGATGGTTTACTTGTGACATTGTTTCAGTTATAAAAATATTCAAAGCATTAAATTGTCACTTTTTTACTTACCTGTGGGAACAATGTTCCATCCTCTCCTCTTCTAAACAGTGATGAATTTCTTAGAACCCTTGCATCGTGAACACGGCCAGGCCACCCGACGTTTATATCTGTGAACCTGTTTTTCAAAAGAAATCAATTATAAACAATCAGGCTGCCATCTCACAGAGGTTACTGCAAAGATATTAAAATCCAATAATTTATCATTTGCTACTGAAAAAAAAATTTTATGTTAAAAACTGTATACTACAGGAAATTACTCTTCAGTTCAAATTATTTCCAAGTAGCCAAAGTGAAATACAGTAGTATTAATTTAATGACATTCATTACCATCACAAAACATTTTTTTTAAACAATTTTACACATGCATTTTTTAATCTTTAATAAATAATCTATTATTAGTATTAGTAAACTATCAATTACCTTAATTTATCATCGACAACAGCTTGCATTACAACAGAATAAATTCCTTTTCTGTTATGATAGTCCGCAGGATTTTTGTTAGGTGCAATAATTGGAATATGCGTACCGTCTACAGCACCGGCACACTGCGGAAAACCATACTTATTTTAAAAACACATTATTGTTTGTTGGAGTCTGTCACCAACTGGCCAAACTATGTATTGATCAAACATCACATCAACAATTGCTTTGCAAACCTCATGAACTATTTCGCATGTTGTCGATCTGCCTACTCCAAATAAATTAGCTATAGTTCTCAGGTCACATGGTGTTGCAAGTCGATATAATGCGATCGCGATGACTTTTTCAATTGTAAATCCATTCGACGCTTGTCTCTGCAGGTGAGGTTGCAGAAGTGTGCATAACTCATCAAAGGTCTGCCTGGACATACGGAAATTCTTCCTCCAAAATATGTTACCATATTAATTGAGCACCGTCTCCCACCATACTGTTGAATGCAGCACAAACTGTAAATGGAAATAGCTAGTTAATAAAACTCAACTTAATTGTTAAACCTAAGCCTAGGCTATGTCTAAGTAGTGCTAATTTTAACGCAATATAAGAAAAGATTATCATCATTATTATTTTTATTATTATCACTATATTCTATTATTATTATTAATATAAGGAAGGCTGAATAATGAGAGTAGGTAGGCCGAGGTGCATCGTACTAGGCTATAATAATAATAATAATAATAATAATAATAATAATTGGCCTAACTAGGCCAAGGTAGAGTCTCAGTCGAGTGGCCTAGTAGTAGGCCTAGGCTAGCCAGGGTAGGACTAGGCAAGGCCTACCCTAGGCTAGATATAGAAGAGGTGGTGCAGCCAGAGCCGACCTTACCTAGGCCTAGTCCTAGCAGTGCAGAGTCCGCGCCCCATTCTTTTATTCAATTAGGTTATGTATAGAGCCTATTATATTACTGTCTGTACTAACCTCTCGTCTAGGCCTAGGAATTTCGACATCAGTGTAGACAGCCTCAAGTACAGCATTCATTGCCTGCCTTCGTCTGTGCCTGCGCCGCCTTCTACTCATCAGGGCTGCCATTTCCAGGCCGTATTATTGTGGTTGTTCTTGTAAGAACAATCGCGCCTGGATACCTAGCAACGTTTTAACAACTGCCGTTAGTTGGTAAAAATTCACCATTTTGAAATGGCAGTCGAAAATATGTCAAGTATTATTATTAATTACTGTATTATAAATTACGTTCAGGAGAATCGGGAAATGGATCATGTTTTTTTTTTTTGAGAGAGAGAGAGAGGCTAGAGGGCCGAGCGAGGAGGTATAAAAGGGGATTATGGGATAGAAACTGGCATTTACATATTGACCCTAGGTTGTACATCCGAGATTAATGGTTTTTCGAAAGCGGTGTTGTGTTGGAGTTGTGCACGAACGGGTAGACCACCCGCGGATACTTTTACCGGTAAGAAACTAGTAAAGGTTTTCCGGTTCTCGCCCGAACGCCCCCTATATTACTGCTTCAGGCAATTTTGTAACAAGATTAACAGTGAAGCTCATTAGTTGTGAATAGTTAAAAACCATGTTGTAACTTCTAACATAAGTCATTGATTTTTAAAATTCAAAAGCATATCTATTATGATTTTTATCTGAAAATATAGCTAAGGTAATAAAAATGCCAAATGGTTTTTAACAACAGGTTTTTAAAATTCTCTAGGATGGTTTTTAAATACTATACTGGTAATTTAATGAGAAACAGCAATGCATGCTGTGATAATGAATCTTAAGT